ATTTTGACAGGGACTTTTAGTATGTTCAATAGAAAGTCCCAATAAATGTGTATACCAAAATTCAGATCTTTACCAATTAATGTTTTTATTTGTCCAAAATTGCACTAATTTTACTGGACTAGTTGAAATGTGGACCATTAACGATCATTTATTAACATGTGCTAAATTTATACTAAATGGAGTTTGGGATAAAGTGGTCTTTATGTCGAATCTAAAAGCGTTCCTAGATTTACCCACGTTTGTCGTACAAGAACGTAAGCGTTACAACGTAATGAAGTTAAACTTTTCACAAAACTTCTAATGTTCTCTTGACCTTTTTCAATAAACATCGTAAAATGGTAGTGTGAGACCAGAATTTAATTCAAAAGCTATTATGGTTGGAGTTTTATCATTTTATATAATCTAACTTTGTGAGCGAGGAAATTTACGTAAATTGCACATTATTGTAATTTTCTAATAAAATACCTACTATTTTCGAACTAATGTCTGCAGACGGAGACGTATTAGACGAATATTAAACCCTACGGTATAATAATTTGGCGCACATTTGGTACATTTGTTTAATAATTAATAATAACAAATGTTATCCTACAACAACAAAAAATAATCAAAAATGTCACAACAATGTGCTTTTAGTAGTCGAGTAGTCTTATAATTATCTCTTTGACACACTAACAATTGTTTATAATATGACACGCTTTTCATTACAGCACGATTTATCGTGCCATCAAGGCGACGTGACAACAGCCTAGAGATAAGAAAGTGTCCCCCCGCCTACAAGTGAGTCATCTAATTTAGCATCTATCTATTTATCAAACAGCATACAATACCTTGTTTTATGAAAAAAGGGAAGGAAAACCAATAACGCGTCGATTTTACGTCACCAATCCTCTATATGAATAAATACAGTAGATTCCCTATAGGTAATCCCATCTAGCATATTGGCATTAAGTGTGATATACATCAAAGAAACGGTAGATTAATGATATATGAGGCGTGCTTTAATGGTTGAAAAAATATGACTACCGTTCTAGAAATACTGTTTTTAAAGGTACATATTCATAAAAGAGAGGGTTGATTATAGTGATTTCAGATATACAGAAATGTTCGAATGATCTGTGAGCGATATGTTGTTAAAAAAGGTTTGCAACGGTTGCAACTATGTATACACAAATATTTCGATATTTCAGAACATTCTACAACTATTTTGATTTCTATCCAGTTAAAGTTACCTTTATTACCCTATTTTTTATTAAAGTCATTTTTTTATATCGGAAACTACCTCAAGTTTATAATGGTTACCGAATATACTTACAAAGAAATGTTATTCGTCTCATCTCTAGTTTTACACGCTTATTTCAATTCAATGAAAATAGTCCAGTCAAATTACGGTTTGGGCTGGATGTTGTCACTTCACTCAACGACACCAAGCGCATCCTATGTAAAAAAATTCGCTGAATCCGAAAATCCTAGTCCCCCTGGCCGGAAACGCCCGGAACATATTGTTATAACCAAAAAACGAAGAAAAAATGGGAAAATGTCGTGTTTTTTTCACATTTGACTTCGAATATCTCGTTAACTATTTCTCCGAGGGAAAAAATGAATAGAAATGAACTTGTTTAGAATAAAATTTTGTATAAGATACGGTTGGTCCGGAACGCTCATGAAAAAAAAATCTAAAAAAGTAATCTCGAAAATTAACACTTTGTTATTACTAAGAAAAATTCATCCTATCTTTTTGAAAATCCATATTTAGTATCTTCTTTTGATAACACAACAATATGACCAACCAGATCACCGTAGGTTTCATACTCATTGATTAATTAAATAAACAAGTAGAAAAAGGGATGCTTTGTCTTTCAAATTGGGGGAGTACAAGAGTGTTCTCAATTTTTTTATACATAGTGAAACCGACAATCTTTTCCAATAATTGTCCCGATGATTTTTGCAAATCAATGGACAGTGGAATTTTTTTAGTACTCTATAATCGGCCCTTGGCACTCGGATTAATAAAAAACATTCATTTTCGTGAAATAGAAGCATGAAAAAGTTCACGCTGTAAAGAATCGATCGGTGCGACCCGATTTGCAAAATCATTGTTGGTTGTTTCGAAAACTGGCTTCAAAGTCAAAAGTTGATTTCTCGTGTACTATTAATCGGATGGACGTACGGTGATCTGGTTTGTCATATTGTTTTGTTATCAAAAGAAGTTACTAAATACCTACGGATTTTCAAAAAGATCGGATGAATTTTACTTAGTAATAACAAAGTGTTAATTTTCGAGATTACTTTTTTACATTTTTCCATAAATAACAATAACACTTGCAAATGAGCGTTCCGGAGCAACTGTATCTTATAGAAAATTTTATTCTAAACAAGTTCATTTCTATTCATTTTTTCCCTCAGAGTAATAGTTACCTACCGAGATATTGGCAGTCAAATGTGAAAAAACACGACCTTTTCCCATTTCTTCTTCGTTTTTTGTTTATAACAATATGTTCCGGGCGTTTCCGGCCGGGGGGACTATGATTTTCCGATTCAGCGGATTTTTTTACATAGAATACGTTTGGTTTCGTTCAGTGAAATGACAACATCCAGTTTATACTACTTTTAGAGCTAATTTGACTGGACTAAAAGTCTGGCCAGGAAAGAATGCCGGTCACAGCACACCTGATGTTGGTCTGCAATCGTGTCATGGTTTACTATAAAAAAAACATACGATTGTATGCCGGTATCTTTGGTGACGGGCATTCTTTCCTGGCGAGACTGATAACTTCCCGACGTAGCGCGGTTAAAGTAATACAGTCAAAGCTTTTTGAAAACTGGTACATTACAGAACTTGGGATACGTGGGAATCAATCGTTTCATATCGGGCGAACAAAATCCATATTTGGATGAATTTTAAAGTTATTTGCTGTTACCAAACTTTTTTTTCAAATTAGTGAAAGTATTCACTGCAACGAATGAGCGCGTTACATTTTCGAATACGAGTATATCGGATATACAGGGTGTAAAAAAAGTATGCTGTCAAACTGAAACCCTGGATAGTAGGCAACCAGCTGAGCAGAAAATACTTAATAACTGCTTGTCTAATCAGTACCGTTACGGAACTATGAACCCCTAAAGACGACCAATGAGCGCGCCGTATTACGAATACCACAACACAGGGATGCCGATGCGATATGTAACCGACTCTTGCTGCGTTAGGTGAACGGTGGGGAGTGACAGATTGTGAACTGTCAGTCAACGCGCTGGTTAGTTATCTGAAGCCTGTGTTCAGAGTATCGTCTTCTTGGATATTTTTTGTGAAGTTTTATTTACCTTTAATTAATCTAACCATGGCTAATCGATTCGACTTTGTGGAGCGACGAGATATGCACTTTATTTACGGCTTAGCTGACGGTAATGCGCGAGAGGCAGTTCGTCATTATGCCGAACGATATCCTAACCGTGTCCAGCCTAACCGCGCGCAATTTGTCAACATCCATCGAAATTTAGGTGAGCATGGCACGCAATCCTGATGTAACTGGCCGTCCACGGACTCGACGAACAGTGGAATTTGAAGAAGCTGTTTTAAATAGGATTGAAGAGAACCCGTCAACCAGTACTCGCGCAATAGCCCACGAATTGGATTGTTCAAACATGAGCGTCTGGCAGGTTTTGAACGACGAAGGAATGCACCCATTTCACTTACAAAAGGTTCAAGGCCTCTCTCATAATGACTACGCACCTCGAGTAGAGGCATGTCAATGGCTTTTGCAGCAGTGCCAGGCCGAGCCCGACTTTGCATCTCTGCTAATGCATACCGACGAGGATACTTCAACGTACACAACAACCATGTTTGGAGTGAGAACAATCCGCATGCCACGCATGTTGATTCAAGCCAACACAAATTTTCAATCAACATTTGGGCAGGTATTATTGGTGACCATCTCATTGGACCGTGGGTTTTACCCCCACGTCTCAATGGCGCAGCTTACCTGCACTTCCTGCAAAACACCCTACCAGTTTTGATGGAAGATGTGCCACTAGCCACACGAGCTAGGATGTGGTTTCAGCATGACGGTGCTCCTGCACATTTTTCATTCGGTGCCCGAAACCATCTAACGGCAACCTTCGGGGAACGCTGGATTGGTAGGGGTGGACCCGTTCATTGGCCAGCAAGATCTCCTGACTGGACACCGTGCGATTTCTTTTTGTGGGGTTTCTTAAAAGACAAAATCTACGCAACCCCCGTAGAAACCCGAGAAGATCTCCAAGACAGAATTTTCGATGCCGCGCGAGAACTTCGAGAAAATCCAGGGATTTTAATCCAGGGATTTTCGCGAAAGTCCGAAATAGTCTAATCCGACGCACCCATCTGTACATTGACGTTCAAGGTGGTCACTTTGAGCACTTGGTTTAAAAAAAGCGGGAAAAAAACGGCCCTTTTCAGGGCCACAAATAAAAATTATTTAAAAAAAATGCCCGAGGCGAGAATCGAACCCTGCGCCTAACGCAGCAAGAGTCGGTTACATATCGCATCGGCATCCCTGTGTTGCGGTATTCGTAATACGGCGCGCTCATTGGTCGTCTTTAGGGGTTCATAGTTCCGTAACGGTACTGATTAGACAAGCAGTTATTAAGTATTTTCTGCTCAGCTGGTTGCCTACTATCCAGGGTTTCAGTTTGGCAGCAAACTTTTTTACACCCTGTATAGAACAAGGAACTGTTTGTTGGCTATATAACAGTGTACTTTGCAGGTATACAAAAATAACACGAGCAAATGAATCCCTGAAATTTGATGAAAACTTTCGATAAGGGTTTGACGTGTTCTAATTAGCATATTTTCTATGCAAGTTTTAGTGCAACATACCTACTCACGTGAAGACGGACGGTGGAAGTGCACTGACTATTCCTTAAAATTTATACGTAAAGGTAACTATCTGCATCAAAAGCTTTTACATCATAAAGAACTTTGACATTCCAGTAACAATTAAATCAAATCATGCTTTACTTACCCAACATCTTAATGACCCGTTGCTGCGCAGCGGTGTTTCGAGGTACTCTTGGAATAACTGAAGCGTGACCATTACCATTACACGACGTTTCACTCCTTTGTATCGACAACGTTCTTGCGTTACGTAACTTAATACCGATTAAAATGTACAAAACTGTTATTAAAGTCATTGGTCCGACAAAAAACACAAACGTCGATATTTCAAACGCATGTTGAAAGTAAAACTCGGTTGAGACCACCGTGCATCTGCTACGTTCAACTCCATCATCAGACTTGTCATATTCCACTCCGAATTGCATTGCTTGAGGGGCAGCAAGGCACAATGCAATTACCCAAATTGCAATTACATATTTGATTGCTCTAGATAACTTAGACATTGTATGGGATAGAAACGGATGGCATATAGCCAGATATCGCTCTACCGTAAATGCGGTTATTGTTAATACTGTCGCGTTCGCCGAGGTTTCTGCAGCGAATCCCTGAAGTATACAGAACGCTCCTCCGAACACATACGTTTCTGGCGACCATAGTCTGTACATTTCTGGAGGCAGTCCTGAAACTAGCAGGAGAAGGTCGGAAATTGCCAAACTAAATAAGTAATAGTTCGTTGCGGTATGTAACGACTTGCTTCGCGCTATGACGATACATGTACTCACGTTTCCAATTATGCCCGTAAAAAATATTACAACATAAATTACAGTTATTGGTATCACTAAAGATACAGGATAAAGTAAGCTTTCTCCACCGGTCACATTTGTGATTTCAGTAGTGTATAAGGTGGAGTTCGTAATCGTGTCATTTAGAATGGTGATGCTTGTGTTCCAGAAAGTCATTCCTAAACGATAGACTATGGAAACTTCAGTTTACGTCCTGTTAAGAGTTTTGGTGTATTTTCTAATGGGACACGTGTACTTGCAACCGTTTTCTGGATACGACACGTTTACACTCATTCTTGCCAAATCTGAAACAAAAAATAATTTTAAATTACACTCTAATATGTGCGCAAAGGGAGAATTTGCTGAAATAAATATTTCGTATCCCAAGCTGCTATCAGTTGCGGATGTGCAAGTGGTCCACGAAAACGTGTCACCGCTTTAGTAAGTTGTATGTATGTAAATCTAATCAAAAGTTTTCACTTAGAAACTGCTTATACAGCCGTTTTAAATTGCCTTTCTGCATAATATACCTACAGATGTGTCCACTTTTTTTGTCACATTTTCTGTATACTTATGTTCCCACAGAAATCAATTTATATGCATTCATATAAAAAATGCAGAGATAGATATGGCTCCTTTTATTAACAAAAAAGGTTATAGCAACTCAAACCAGATGGCAGGATTCTCTATGTAATTTCCATTTAAAGAAGAGCCTTTTATTATTGCAAATAGTCGGAAGCGAATGAGAATGTAGTAGTTCAATATTATTATAGTTCAGTCAAATTACGTTTTGGGCTGGATGTTATCATTTCACTCAACGTTTCTATTCATTTTTTCCCTCAGAGCAATATTGAAGTCAAATGCGAACAGAAACGACATTTTGCCATTTTTTTTATTGTTTTTTGTTTATTTTATATGTTCCGGGCTTAGATTAGGAAAGAGTATGGATACCGCGTATACCGTACAGCCCGTGTATTAATCGTGTTACCTTTTTAAACAAGTCTGCCATTTTATATGTGGCACATATGTCATTTAAGTAACATCGTTTTTTAAGAGTTTTTGCGCTTAAATTGACTGGAAATACACAAAAAAAACAACTTAAAATTATGGGGAATTGTGCAGATTGTGGATGCAAAAACCGGATTGAGAAGGAGGAACCAGGAATTTCATTTCAGACGTAAATATTGAAAATGTGCCTAATGCCGTTACTACGTATTTTCCTATTTTTCATCGTAAAGCTTTTTCCCTGAACATTCTTCTTTTAATATGTTAAAATTCATAGCTTAATGAACGATTACACGTAATTTCCCACAACAGAACCAATCCCATGCATTAAAATTTTGATAACAAACGTCTTCAAGGACGGAATTATTCAATAAACTCCATAGGCGTAATCATTAGCACTCCGCGTTTTTCAAAGTGAAAATTGGTACGGAAACAGCTTTTTTCTATTTCGATGTGGAAACAATACCGAAACCGTACTTGATTGGCCCAGTTTGCGTGCGTTTCTAGACAGAAATGATGCCGAAAGAAATAGAAACGCATTATTTTTTTATTTTGTTGGATTGGTACCCCTCGCTTTTTTGCTGTCAACGGTATCCGTCAAATCAAAACTAAACATAACCTGTAAAGTGTAAATAACGTACGAGGAACTTGACCGATTGTATTAATTCCGATTAATTTTGAATATATACTCCAAGGGTAGAACTTTTTTTATTTTTACTTAGCGTAGTAAAATATGCCGCCAGTACATTCTTGCTTACTTTTTGAACTCCCTTCTCGGCCAGCCAGTTTTCAAAAATTTTGTACTCCTCGTACTTTACTTTCGATTTTACAGGCAGTAAATTTAACGTCGCTTCATTGGCAATCTCTTGGATCTCTGGTGGGGTACAAGAGACGTGTTTGTCATCCGTATTCATCATAATTCATAACTGCCGCAAAATGGAATTATGACCAAATAATTAAAAGTTTGAAGTTTGAAAATACAGGAATCAGGTTAGCCAACGTGAAAATAAATGAATTGTGTCTATTACCAACATACAGTGAATGATAGTTTAAAATTACCTAACAACGCCTAAAGGCAATATTTATAATTTGTATAATTTATTATTTAAAATAAAAGTCGAAATAGAAAAAATAGTATAAAGCACACGTGTCATTTGTCTACTTGTCGCACTCGGCTTTTGCCGCATTCGCCGCTACGCGGCTTATGCGGCAAACTACCTCGTGCGACAATCTTCGTCAAATGACACTTGTACTTTAATATACTATTATTTGAAAAATCGAACAGAAAACAATGAAGATTCATATTTTATTACAATCTTTAGCTGAAGAGACAGTTAGTTTGAAAGGCATTCCCGAAAAAAAAAAGAGGAAGTTTCTCTTATACCCGTGTCTGATTAATAAATAGTTCAACGCACAAATTTCATTCGTATGTTCAACGTGTTTTATTATTATAGTTAAAAGTAGTTTGTTTTTAGGTACTTCTGCTACTATTCGCATTGGGGATCCTACGCCACTGGCCAATATCATTATGTGGCAGGTGGTAACACTATCGCTTGCGAATTATGCGTCCATATTCTTTTCTTGTCTAAGGTTCCGGGAGTTTCCGGCCGGGGGACTATGATTTTCGGATTCAGCGGATTTTTTTTACATAGAATAAATACACTTGGTCTCGTTGAGTGAAGTGACAGCATCCAGTTTAGACCACTTTTGAAGCTAATTTGACTGCACTATTAGGCAATATGTAGAAATTAGATTAGTATACATTTAGTAGTGTTACCAAACGTATTATTATGAATTGAATATAAAACAGGTGTAGGCAAGAAAATGCAAATTAAGTGTAATAAAATTGCTTAGGCAAGATATTTAATTTAATGAGAACTAGGATAAACCTCAAAAATCTTCTCAATCTCCTCGAGATTGAACAACGTGCTTTCATTAACTGTTCTCGTAGTAGTTGGGTATGGTTAGGGCCGATGATAAGTTCGTTTGGTTTGATGTCAACAAATGTCAAAGAACACGCACATTGCGAACATAAATACGACAAAAACACGTGTTTGGAAAAACTGATTTAAACAAGTTAAAAAGTAATCGTAAACGATTTACAAAAAGCGCATTTCCACTTGAATTCATTTCCCATTTGTAAGATGCAACTTCTGTTAAAATCGTAAAAATCCGGCCACAAATATGAAAGATAGCGTTGCACATGTGCAATCCATGTTTGACGTGTTACTTTAATTTCAGTTTATATGAGGAATTTCATTTCAATACTTTTCTAAGTAAGAAAGTTGGAACTGCGCATGCGCAAATCTAAATTTTGAAACTAACGTTAGATTTTCCTTTGTTCCAAGCACCTATGTATCAAATTTCATTTAAGTGCTTCCATAAATAAAAAAGTTGACACTGCGCATGCGCAATACCAAATTTGAAACTGGCGTTTGATTTTCCTTTATTCCAAGTGCCTATGTATCAAATTTCGTTAAAATTTTTCCATAAATAAAAAAGTTGGCACTGCGCATGCGCGAAACCAATTTTTGAAATTGGCGTTAGATTTTCATTTATTCCAAGTGCCTATGTATCAAATTTCATTCAAATACTTTTATAAATAAAAAAGTTTGCAATTCGGTTTATAAATGGTCGAGATGCGAAAAGGGCACTGTGAATTTTGAATCGATTCGACTCAACTTTTGGCATTGCGTATTATATGGCTAAAGCTATGCCCATATTGAATTTCATGCAATTCAGTTCATAACTAACGGAGATGTCAAAGCGATCGGACATTTCTAACCGAAGTTATCGTTCACACGGACAGATAGAGGGACAGACAAACAAAGGAACAGACGGACAGATCAACAGACAGACGACAGACAGCAATACAAAATACAAATACAAAAAATACAAAAACATGTAAAAAACGGTTTGTTGGTTTTTTACAATAACTTTTTTAGCAATAAACGCAGAAAAAATTCCTTCCTTGGTGCAAGCCTCGACACCATAACGAACCAAATAGCGAAAAAAGTAGAACAATAGCTCTTAAGATAAAGAACTAGTAGCGTCTCAACGAACTAGCGGACGGACGGAATAGGCATTTGATTTTGCGCATGCGCAGTGCCAACTTTTTAATTTATGGAAGCATTTCAATGAAATTTGGTACATAGGTGATTGGAATAAAGGAAGATCTAACGCCAGTTTCAAAATTTGTTTTTGCGCATGCGCAGTGCCAACTTTCTTATTTATGAAAGCATTGAAATGAAATTCTTCTTATAAACTGAAATTTGATGTAACACGTCAAAAATGGATTGCACATGTGAACGCTGTCTTTCATATTTGTGGCCGGATTTTTACGATTTTAACAGAAGTTGCATCTTACAAATGGGAAATGAATGCAAGTGGAAATGCGCTTTTTGTAAATCGTTTACGATTACTTTTTAACTTGTTTTTTATTTTTGTGGAAATGCGCTAAAAACAAACATCAATTGGGGTTTTGTATTTTTTTTATACATAATGGCATCCTCTCAGTAACTCCGTTGGTAGTCCCTGTTACTCCATTTCATCAAAAGCTCTTCTCACCTCAACTTCCAGTTCTTCACAAGACACAACTAGTGTAACTTTGTTTTTTATAAGATCCCACACATAAAAATCCAGTGCCGTTACATTTGGAGATCTACCTGTCTCCAAAAATGATCATAGAAATAAGCATCATGGGTAGAATGAGCTGGTGCTCCGTCAAGTTGAAACCAGTAGTTTTTCCCAGGTAATGTTTCCAAGGATGGTACAATGACATATTATACTAATGGGTTTATTTCAAGGCCTCCTAAGAAAATTATTCACACAACGGTCACAATTTTAGAAAACCTAAAATAAAACGAAAACCATAACAGGTAGGTATGTAATAATTGATCGATGTAGAATTTTGCTCCACATTTGAAAGTACAAAAAATAAAGCAGGTTTTATTTGAAAAAAAAATCAACTTTTTAAAGTTCGAAGTTGTTAAACTTGACCATTAATTTTAAAACACTCTGTAGAAAGGCGATTAAAATTTAAATCATTCGCATGTATATAGCATCACGTCAGTATTGTTGATTTTGGAAGACTTTGAAATTCAAGTCAACGGAGTCAAAGATTTTGAAAAATCTTGAATAACGTGAAAATGAAAACCTTTGATGCTAGGTATGGGAAAATGTGGTATCAAACGACGTAGATTTCCATGTACATTTCGAAAATACAATAAAATATATGGTGTTCTATTTAAAATAAGAAAGTTGCTATCCACATCCAGTAAAACCGGAAGTGAAACGATTG